TTTGTTTGATTTATAAAGAATGATGCATTAATTACCTATGGTCATGGTAGCCAAGTAAAACACAGAGCATAAAATTAAGTAGAGTTCTATGGTCTGCGCCGATGAAATTAAATGCATCATTGAATATAAAATAAGAGTTATCAAATGACTGAATGATGCGGTAATATATGAGTAGATTTGAATCATGATATTGTACCAAAAAAAAGACTATAATATTTTCCAAAAATTCATAGTTTCAAGTCTAAATTACAAACCTAATTTATTGCATAACAAATTGTGAACTTAATATTAATGAATTAATTTTTTTTCATAATTTAGTTTTACAAAAGATATTTTAGTGAATTAGCGCTTGTCTAGTTTTTGTAACTAAGGGTGCGTTTGATAAAATTAAAGTCTGAAATCTAAAATCTGAATGCATTTAATTATTGAATTGTTAAATATTAAATTAAATCTGATACATTTAAGTGCATATCACATTCAATGATAAGTAAAAAGATTTTCACTTAATTTTGAAAGTAAATTTTGTATAAAAAATTCAGTGCCACTGGATGTTTAATTTTTTATTATTAATGGTATGAATATGTTAATATGTGCCCCTTATGTTTTCTTCAGCCAATGCACCTTCCCTGGAAGCCCACTGGAATCTAGCAACAACAGAATCTTTAATTTTATTCAGGTATTGTACTACAGGGGTGGCAATTTCTGACATGATCCGAAAACACGACACGAACCTAACACAAAATTAATAGGTTTGGGTTGAAGTTTTGGGGGTTCGGGTCAGAATCGGGTTGAACCCGATGAACTCGAAAAGAAAACATGTCGATTTCGGGTCAACCCGTGGTGATCTGATATGACCCGATATGACCCGTTTACAAATTAAAAATAATTTAATAAACATAAAAATTATTTTATCTAACTAAACTAAATCATTCTTTTTTTTCAAAGGCATTAATTACTTAATTCTAAATGGATTTATTTACCTTGTGTGAAGTTAAAATTATTACATTTGGACAAATAATATAATTCGTTTTAATTTATTTTATATTTGGTTTGGGATAAAAAAACTTTTACGGTGTTTAATTTATTTTGGATTTGATTTGAAATTATTTATTTAAATTTTTATTACTTGATGATGTAATTAATTTTGTGAGAAATTGATTTTATTAGAATTTACAGTGATAAATTAATAAATTAAAATTAATTTTCGGGTCAGTTCGGGTCGACCGACAACCCAAAATTTTCGGGTTCGTGTCAGATATACTGACCCGTCACGGGTTGACGGGTTGGGTTCGGGTCAACAGATTTTTTGGCGTTTGCCACCCCTATTGTACTCCCTTACACATATCAACCACCATGTTGGGGCCAGTAGTCTCGGGACCAAAACACATCGATTATGAGAGGTGTGTGTGTGTGTGGTACTTAAGGTCCATGGACATACTTGGAAGTCAGCAATTGCCTTTTGAGTATGTTGGTGGAATTACCTTAGGTAATCGTGTGTATTTGCCGCTTAAAATTGACAAAAAAAAAAAAATTCATTAATTTCAAGTAATTGGGTCATGAACAGGGCCGAAAAAGAGACACAAGGAACAATATCAGAAAGTTAATTCCACTCACTCTGTACCAGATATACACTATCACAAACGCGCACTGGCGGTTGAAATAGGAAAAAAGAAAAAGAAAAATAAAAGTTAGTACTATAGAATACATTCTATTCCATGTCCAAGCAAACCCTTGAACAATAGAGGTGCAAAGGCGTTTCTTCTGTGTCTCAAATCTCATCAGCTGGGATTCTCTAGTAATATTCCCTAGCTCCTCCCGATCCATCGGAGCCAATACGCTCAGTGCCGGATCCCTATTTTACACCAATTCGCCGGTAAACCTCCATTCCTTCCCCCACTGATTTCCTTTTATATCTACTTTTTTGGGTTCAAGATCTATATATTGAATGTGTAGATCTTTCCCGTAGATTTAGGTGTCTTAAACTTTGTCTAAATTAAGTTCATGAATAGGGAATTTCAATTCGGATTAGATGACACACCAGTTGTAATCGATTATACGTTCGGAAACACGGAGATCTTTATAAATTCAGGGGTTGGAATATTTTTTGCGGGCTACAACTAGATCATGCTTAGACGGAAAACTGGTGAATAATTGATCATTTGCTGCTCAAGATAGTTGTTGATTTTAGGCTTACATATCTTATAGCTTAGGGGCTTTATCCGTCTTTGGTTTCATTTCCTTTATTTATTTATTTTGGTTTGAGTAAAACGGTGAAAAAGTGTTCAAAAGATTCTTTCTTCTTTTTTTGTTTAATGGACATAATGTATTTTATCCTCAAGGGCATGAGGTATTTGTGGGATGTGAATTGTTTAGATTAATCTAATGATCAGAATGGAACATCTGATTCCAGATTAATGTCTACAATGAAACGTATAATTGCGGATTCATGATAATATTCATTCCTCTTTCTGGGGATTGAGATTACTGGATGTCATTGGGTTAAACTGATTTTCACTGTTTCTTTTTTCTGTCATTAGGATGATGACACTATTGCTTAGGGCTTTTCATTTTGCCAGTAATTTAAGTTCACAAAGCATTCTTCTGTCTACTTTGTCCACCCGTGAGCTCGTACCTTTCATTGTACTCCTTTTCAGGCATACATCGATAATTAGTGCCAATTAATGACCACTGTCACATGACCATAAGTTTCAGCAAAGTATCCACATTGCCTAGGATTTTTGGTTAAATCAGTTTCTAGTATTATAGTTCAAATTTGCTAGCCTTTCAGATTTTTTTCGAGCACTTGTAATTTTGAACAAAAAATGCACATTTGATTTTGATCTGTAATTACAGGAGCAGATAGCAGCTGTATAAGTGTGACTTAGAGGAGGTTGCAGACATAAAAATCTAGTGCTAAATTAATCAAGAGGTAATAACATAATGCCGGCACAGAAGATTGAAACGGGTCATAATGACACGGTTCATGATGTTTCTATGGACTACTATGGAAAACGAGTTGCAACAGCTTCATCTGACTCCACCATAAAGGTTATTGGTGTGAATAACAATAATACTTCCCAGCACCTTGCCACTTTGAGTGGTCATCAAGGTCCTGTTTGGCAGGTTGCTTGGGCACACCCTAAATTTGGCTCACTTCTTGCATCTTGTTCCTATGACGGTAAGGTTATCATCTGGAAGGAAGGTAATCAAAATGAGTGGTCACAGGCTCACGTGTTCAGTGACCATAAGTCATCAGTCAATTCTATTGCATGGGCGCCACATGAACTTGGGCTCTGCTTGGCTTGCGGATCCTCTGATGGAAATATTTCAGTGTACACAGCTAGGTCGGATGGTACCTGGACACCACAAGAATAGATCAAGCTCATCCCGTTGGAGTGACCTCGGTTTCATGGGCTCCTTCAACAGCTCCTGGTGCTTTAGTTGGAACAAGTATCCTTGACCCTGTTCAGAAGCTAGCATCTGGTGGTTGTGACAATACTGTAAAGGTCTGGAAACTGTATAATGGCATTTGGAAGATGGATTGCTTCCCCGCTCTTCAGATGCATGCTGATTGGGTGAGAGATGTTGCTTGGGCGCCCAATTTGGGGCTTCCAAAGTCCACTATCGCTAGTGCTTCACAAGATGGTACTGTTGTCATATGGACTGTAGCTAAAGAAGGTGATCAATGGGAAGGTAAGGTTTTGAGGGACTTTAAGACCCCAGTCTGGAGGGTCTCATGGTCTCTTACTGGAAATTTGCTGGCTGTGGCTGCTGGAGACAACAATGTCTCCTTGTGGAAAGAAGCTGTTGATGGGGAGTGGCAGCAAGTCACCACTGCTGACCAATAGATTTCAGATTACTCTGTTTTGGTACTTTTGTTGGACGACCAGTTCCATAGTTTTTATTTCTTTCTGATTTTGTTTGAGTGGGTGTCATGTGATTACTAGCAGCATTGAGTTAGATTATATGAAAGGAATTGAAAGTTTGAACCATTTCTCATGCGCAATTCATTTGTTTAATGATCTGATTGATATTCTAGCGACCAAATTTGTTGTGGCTCTATCCTTAATAGTTTTGGGGGCCTTTCCTTTTTGGTTTGGTCAGTGCGCTGTACCGTCGGCTGGATGAATTCGAATACAATTGTTTGTGAAGGTTTTTGGGCATATAGATTTATTAATTCAGAGCAATTGACTGGCTCTCAGTGATAGGAGAACTTGTTGGCCGATGTACATCTCTTTAGCAGTTGCAAGTAGGGCTGCAAATGAATCGAGCCGCTCGCGTCAAAATCAAGTTCGAACTCGAGCTCGCGAGCTCGAGTATATATATATATATATATATATTATTTTTTTTTTTTTAAGTATATATATATTTTTTTATTTTAAGTATATATATATTTTATATTTTTTAATTTTAATAGTAAAATTACATATATATTCTTAATATTTTATTATTTATTAAGAAAAAAAATATTATTTTATTTATTTTTTAAAAAATAAAATAATTATTTTTTATTTTTTTCGAGCTCGAGTTTGAAATTGTCAGTCGAATTCGAACTCGAGTTCGAGTTCAATTAAATTATGTCGAGGTTTGATTTTGATTAGGCCAAAACTCGACTCGACTCGGCTCGTTTGCAGCCCTAGTTGCAAGCGATGCCGTTATTGATTGTTCGAAGCTGTAGACTGTAGTGTTCCTTGTAACTTTTGAAATCAACTTAATCATACAAAACCACGACTTTGTGTCTCTTAGAAAAGCGAATCAGAAAGGAAAGCGCATTCCTAAAAGCTAAAACTGAGAGGGTATATGCTACTGTTACTGGTAAAAAGCGTAACTCGCGAGGGCGCTTTGGGTTTAGCGCGCTTAGGTTCCAATTTGAAAAAAAAAAGCAGCAAAGGCTTTTTCCCCGCCCGAATCATAAGGGAAACAAAAGAAAATGAACAAAGGAAAAGGGAGATGCCCCCTCGGCCCTCCCTGCTTCAAATCCTCATTCTGACTGCAATCACATTCTTGTCTGAGACATTATGAATAGCGAGCGTTTGCCCGCCATAGAACTTATCATTTCCTTGTTCCTATTCAACTTTTCTGTCTCTTACTTGTACATATGCGTATACCTCCTCCTCAATCTTGATTCAATGACAGCTTGTATTCGGCGTAAAGGAATGTGGTCCTCGCATGCCTCTCGTGATTCCGAAAGCAAAAACCCTCCATTTTATTGCCGCAAAGAGAAATCCCTTAGCGTCTTATGCTCCAAGTATGCACCAGTACTATATCTTGTGATCATCGTATAGAACTAATTTTCCATTTTTTTTTCTTGTTTTATCGAATTATTTTTCTTGTTCTCAATAACAGCTTCTTGAAGCAGTACAACAAAGACGGTGTTGACTCTATTGGAGTAGATCATGCTGCCTTTCAATTAGGTAGTCTTGTATTCATCTCCTATGTTTTCAGTTTTTCCGCTCCAATTTTACGTTTTCCTCTTTCGTCTCCAGATAAAAAATACAGACGGACCGAAAGACCTCTTCTTCTGAATGTTATGGTATCGCCTCTTTATGCGGTTGTTTGCAGGTGTTGAGCGGAGGCGGATTTATGATATCGTCAATATACCAGAGAGTGTTGGGGTAATTCTTTTCAATCTAACTGGTTTATTCGTATTTCTTTCGCTGATCTAAGCTGGAGTTTTAATTTTTTTTTGTTTTGTAATTTGAAGGTTTTAACTCGAAAAGCTAAGAACCATTACTCCCGGAAGGGTTTCTGATTTCAAAACACCATAACTTGACTTTTATTGAGAATAATAATCGAAAATCCTTAGCAGTACACTACAAAGGCTCGAGTTACAAACATGTATTGAGTGATTATGTCCACTTTTTATTAGTGTTGTTTTTTTATTGCCATGGCTTCTACTTTTGATTGATTTTGAGTATGGGTGCAGGTTTCGACTCTTGAGGGCAAATGAGGAGGCTTGATCAAAGTAGCCAAGTACTATTGAGTAACGGAACCTAAAGCAAATTCCAGCCACCGAGAGAGCCATTAATCCACACTGTTAGCTGGCTGAAAGTAAGCAAATTCCTCCATTTCACTCCTGTGGTGTTTCATCTATTTCTTGAAGAAGAGACTAAGATTAATTCCAGCATAACATGACAACATTTCGTAATATCAAAAAACTTGTACCATCCTGGAAATTGTAAAGGAACTGAAAATCGACACATTGTAAGTATGATGAATGCACTAAACAGCTATCCGAGACAACCAAAATTGATGAGGAGTTAGGGTAAACTTTTCACTCTATTGGCCCAACATTGAAAAAGGTTTATTTAACTACCTGTACACACCATTTTCCATGGTTTCTTTAATATTTCTCTTGGAGAATTTGCCCACTTCAATATTCCAGTATTGGCATTCCTAAGGTTCAATGTTCACCTAGGCCCTCTGATGTTGACCCACAGAATCAAGTGTAATACATAGGCAAAGAGTATCCTAGTTAGCTGACCCCTATCTTTCCTTTGATTTAGTTAATACTTTCATTAACCATACATTTACAATAAATCGGACACCCTCAAGCAGCGTGTGGGGGCCACAATTCAACTTGTCTTCCATTAAGATTTCACTTGTAAATTAACCAATTGACCCGCAAAATTACACGTCTAAGATACTGGTAAACTGAGACAGAAAAAAAAAAAAAGATGAAGTAATTTGAATCGCAAGTATATCGCCTTGAAACAGGGTTAAACACAGTCGAAAACTTATTTCACTAATCAAGAGCCTCCATAGAGAAATGGAGCATTGCATGTTGTCAACAAAGTGATTTTAAAAAAAAATAATTGCAGAGTAATGATTTAGTGCATTTATTTCAAAATTACATCAAAACTCTAAATATGTTTGATTTTAGAACCCATGGTATGTAAATGTTTTGCCCTCTCAACCAATAACAATTAGTTGCCAATAAAATGATGGAGAACTACCAGTTAAAAAACAACTGTGAAAATAAGAGAGGACTCTCAAATCTGCGGTTTTGAGAAGAAATTGTTGACAGAAGGCATGATCTGGGGAGCCCTATTACGAACAAACTTTCTGAGAGCATGTTCAGCGTACTTCTCCCCTTCTGCATGGTTTTCAAGAACTCCAGCAGCTCTGTTCTCCTTGGTCACCCTTGATTTCCATAGACACAAAGGTCAGTAACAAATCAAGTACATTTAGATGTTGAATTAGGGGAAGCCCCCGTAAGTATGTTTTAAGTGCATGGATGAAGTATATCCATGATAAAGCAAGATGAAGATTCCAATTTACTTTCATAGGCATGCAGCATACTGCAAATAAGCTAAGGATAAAAGATTACATTCAAAATGCACATGTTTTCTGAGAAGAAAATCGCTGCTTTCTGCATTACTCTTATGAACAAACACACAGAGCGAGGTACAAAAACAAACAGGGCAATCTAATTCAAACAGCATTCATCAGCCACTTGCCCATTTTTGTTACAATAGTGAAAATGATCCTGCTTGCTCAAGGCAAGGAAAAGAGTACTTAAGCGCAGCAATTACATTGTGATACACAAACATCCAGCAAAAGAGAGAGAAGGGGGTTTTTTTTTGGAGAGGGGGTGTGTGTGTGTTCAGAAGAGGGGCTTCGATCTGTACGTGAATTCTCAGTGAAGCTTTGATAAAATAGAACATGAAGCAAAACCAAAGAAAGCTTTGATTCAGCAAAAGAAAGCCTTCGTGTAGAGTCTTTAACGAAATAAACAACTATCAATAAAATCGCTAGATCTTATCCGGGAAGATCCCCAAAACCTAATGCTAAATCTGGATTTAGCAGTCAAATTTTGATTTCGACAATTTTAGGACATAGGATTTAATTAATATCCATAAGGCCTCCCTGTTTAATTGTTCTTTTGCAAAATGAAATGCCTTCAAGCATTCGCGATGTTCTTCTCGCATTTGTATATGTTTGATATCTCTAAAGCAGTAGACGATAAAGGATACATGAATTTAGATGATAAAAATGAAAAATTGAGGTACTCCATAAAACAGCAGTACGCCTAAACTTCTTACAGTTTAGGACACAATCGAACATTTAGCTAAAATTTCAGAAATGATGAAAAAAAATAAAGACATAATTCACCATAAAAAAATACGTTTGTTTGTCAGAGAGAGAGAGAGAGAGAGCAGGAGAGCGAGTGTAGGGTATAATTATGAGTATCATACCGGACTTCCGGGTTGATGCAGATGTTGCGGATCAATTGCGCCCCGCAAATACCGACGGCCACCCCAACTGCTGCGAACAGCGGATATACCTGCAACCACACACACATATACGTAACACACCCATCACCCATCATACCAAATCAATGGCCAGATCTAATCATAATACTCCTAACAAATCCATGAGAATCGCCTAAATTGCTACGTACTAGTTAAAACAAAAAGATCAAAGGGAGAAGCCAAAGATCTAGGGGAGGAAAAAGTTAGAGAGAGAGAGATCGGACCTCGGGCCTAAGCCATCTGTTGACGGTGGATGACGCCATAGGACCAGAAAACCAATGTGCACACCGAAATTTTGCTAACAACTCTGGATTGGAAATACGAAATGCCCACGCCTCCACCCCAAAGCCTGCTAATATATGCCTTGCGGCGGCGCTGACGAGTAAGCGCTGTATCTTTTTTATTTTATTTTATTTTGATAGAGTAGAATTGTATTAAAATTAAATTAAAAGTTAATCTTATACACCATGTCATTAGACGCATAGCGACTAATTTGAATTTGAACTTGAATTTAAAATTTAAAAAATATATGTGTCATACAGTCAAATCTTTTATACACTAGTGTTTTTAAATCCAAACCAAAAAGTAAACTGATTATAAGTTTCTAAAAATTGGATGATTTCAGCATAGCATCATAAATATATTTAATTATATACTAATTAAATAGCATGAAAAAAACACTTATGTATGTATGTAATGTAACAACATGGAGAAAAAATTACCTATATTTTTGTCACTCTATTTTTTGTTTATCCTACTTCTTACAATTTTAAAATCCTCAAATTTGACTCCAATTTAATATTTTAAATTTTAAGCGCAAGTTAACAAGTCTACAACAAAATCATTAAGACGGGCTTGAAAACAAATACCAAATTAAGTTTGCAAAAACAAATAATGAAGAATGTTTTTGAAATAGTTATGATTATCCAAAACATTTAGTGTGTAAAGTTAGAATACTATGAAACTTTGAGCATTCGTATCGCAGGATGTTTTCTTCTCTCTTCTCTTTTAAGCTTTGTTTTAGGTGCTTAGATTTATAAAAGTTCGCTTCAAATCATTCGTCCCCAATTTTGTCTTTGTTATGTCTATCCCATCTTTGTTTGTTTATGTTGGTTTTTTGGAGCATATATTAAAAAACAACACCTTAGTGATGCAAAAAAAAATTTATATGAGACTTGTATTGAAGGTAGAAAATGAGTTTATGTTATTTATTAATCAACTCACTATTTATAGTGATTACATGAAACAAACTAACAAAATATTCAACTAACAATTATCCTAAAAATCTCAACAAAATATAATCTTCTTTTACTAGCAAATCTTAGCTAAAATATTTGTTAACAAACCAACATGATCTTTGGTTAACAAATATTCTTATTTTTCTAATAACTAAATTATTTTGATATCAAACATAATCTAGCAAAATCTGTAGGAAAAGTTGGCATATTTCAACAGTTTAATTGTCACGTGTACTGTGCTGATAAATTTATTTTCTAATATAATCTTAAGAGTTATTGATTGTATAACTTATCCACAATAGAATTGTAAAAGTTACGGGACATGACATATGAAATTCGGGACAAACAATTTTAAGTAAAATTCAGTAATGTGTTTGGATTGTAAATTATTACATCTTATTTACACGTATTAACTTGATTGCATCATCAACATATTTTTTAATCTTTTTTATCTCACATATATCATATTAAAAAAATGTCATAATATTTTTTTTTCATAAAATTATCTCAAATAATTCACTATCCAAACACACTTAGGTACCTGTTTGGAAAAAAAAAAAAAGCAAAGGGTGGTTGCGTAAATAACGTCAATACGAGTGGCACTCAATTGACCAAGTACAAAAAGCAAACAAATCCCCAAACTAAAAATTGGTGGGCAGAGAGAAAATGAGAAATCCCAATCCATCCGAGAGGGGTAAGAGATTCTGAAAAACAGAGACAGCCGCGTGAGTGGCCGCCGGCTGCCACACAATTTTTTTACAATTGCGGAAACAGCTATGAGATAATACCTCAAAGGACCTTTATTATTATATATCTCCAGCTGCTTCTCTTGGAAATTCTTTTATGGCAGCCTCAACAGCTAGGGCTTTCTTAGTCTATCCGGCCACCCACCCTCCCTCAGGCCTTATCACCACCACCAACTTCTTCAACGGCTGCAACCCCCTCCTCAACCGCCACCCCCTTCTTCTGCCGACCTCCACCTCCTCATCCGACCGTGGCTTCCGTCCATCCTCCCCTGTAAGCGTAGGGGATTCTCGTCGGCTTCCTCATCCGCCGTCAGCTGCCTAATTTCCGGAGTGGACGGCGGTGGAGTCTCTGACGATTTCGTCTCCACTAGGAAGTCTGGATTCAGCCGCGAATTCTCCGTTATCGCCAACATGCTCAAGCGAATTGAGCCACTCGACGCCTCCGTCATCTCCAAAGGTGTATCCGACTCCGCTAAGGACTCGATGAAGCAGACCATTTCTACTATGCTGGGCCTGCTCCCATCCGATCAATTTTCCGTCACCGTCTGGTTTCCCAAACGCCCTCTCGACCGCCTTATCGTTTCCTCCATAATTACCGGGTAATCTCTTTAATCTTCGCTCTCTAATTGATTACAAATACTTTTTGTTTCCAAAGCTGAACTTTGAACCGCTTAGTGATTCCATTGGGCGGCGAAATGTTAATTCAAATTGGCTGGTCCAAATTATTCAGGTATACTTTGTGGAATGCGGAGTATCGGATTTCGTTGATGAGAAATTTTGACATAACTTTGGATATCTCCAAAGATTATCAACATTTGGAGGAGAATGGGGTTTCAGAGCTGAAGGGAAAACAGAGTGAACGAGCGAAGGTATAGCTAGGGTGGACGGTTGTGCGGAAGTTTTGGATAGAAAACAGGGGGATAGCCTCGGAAATTTGTCTCCTGAAGTTGTGGAATACATTCAACAATTGGAGTCGGAGCTGTCTAGTGTTAAACAGGTGATAGGTTTTTCATTTTTCTCTCCTTTTAATACAATCATTTCACGAGTTTTGATTGCAGTCATCATGGAAATTACATATACACAGTCCCCCGGTTTGTTGTTTGAGGGAAATTTGAGTGCTTCGTATGTCATTGTTAGATTATTGGGAGTTTCGAATTATATGATTCGTGATGTTCTTGGAGTTTACAGCAGCGTGAGCTTGTAATGGAGCTTAATTTGACATAGTAGCACTTATTCTCTTAGGTAATGACTCATCCTCATATTGGCCATTTAGATGTTTGAAGCTCTTTGAACAGCTGAAATTATATTCTTAAAAGTTGGAATGGTGGTTTTACCTTCAGGTAGTTGTTTTGTTTTTCTTGGAATATGATAAAACTCGGAGAAAGTCGAGTCGTGTTATTTGTAAATAGTAACTATAATTTGTTTTGTTGATTAAATTTTCTGTGCTGTCTCAGGAACT